TGTCTCTCTCTATTTCTCTCTCTCTCTCTCTCTGCATGAGTAGCAGATGTCACAGTTGCTGGTAATGGCTGACAATCAAATAGAGACATTCTGTGACTGAAAGCATTGGTTTCGTGGGGGGGGGGCTGCTGGAGATAGCAAAAACCCAATCAATACTGGTCTAAAGGATCAACGTTGCTTTTTTTAGATTTGACCCTGCGACCTTTTGGCCCTTTAGGCCACACTCAAGCACCTGCACCCATCACTGGATCCATGTTTATTGTATATCTATTGACAGGCTGTTGAGATATTTGCATTTGAACGGTCGAGGTACTGCGGCGCTCTCTCTTTCGGTATGTGCACGACAGCATCTTCGGGGGGAAGGTCGGCATCTTTTTAATTGTGCGGTAGCGACAATCAGTGGACGTTACGACAACGGCGTATACCTCCAAACACTCTTGACATCCCTTCAACCACAATCAAGCCGTGTGTCTACCTCAAGAGCTAAAGCAGACGTCTTCGCTTCAGTTCGTGCAGGAAAACCTCATCAAGTACTCGTGAAGACTAAAGAAAGAGATTGTGAAGACCAGAGACAATCAGATATCAGCTTAAAAACGGGAGTCTCGCCTTTTTAATAGATTTCCGTTATGCAAGGGGAACCAGAGAGTATAGTTGGGGATTCAGTTCAGGCTTCAACCTCTTTACTAAGAGCTCCCCTCGGTGGAGGGTTTTGTTATGACGCACAATCAGTTTGGATTTCCTGAATGGAAACTCAAAAGTGTCCGACCCAAAGTCCTTCAGTGTGAGACTGCAAAGAAAAGAGATAGTTTCAGTGTTCCTACCTTTATTTCCTTCCGGTGTTTCCAGAGTTGTGTCCTTTACTGAGGAGACAAAGCCTCTGAAACAGCATTTAGATCCTCATGGAAGAGTCAAATCTGAAAACTCATCAACTTAAAGAGTTAATTTACATCCACAGTAAACGTTCAGTAATCAAATGTCCTGTCTTTCCTGTTTCACTGTAATTTTCAGGTCAGGCAGGTTCCTCCACATCAGAGGTAGCTGATGAAACATTGGAACAACTTAGCTGTGAAAACTGTATCAGTCTTAAACTCTGAAGCAGCTAGAATGAAATCAGAGGTTGTTCAGGAGGTTTTAAAAGAGATTTTAGTTCAGAACAGGTTTGTGTCTGAATGCCACCAGCCGCATTTATGTGTCTGTAGCTGCTTTCACTCGTTAGAACGTGGTTTTAAATTAGAAAACGTTATCAAACGTCTGCAGTTCTTAGGTTTAATTTTATTTTATTTTAAGTTACATTATTGTTGTGTGCAGTTATAAAAGGTTGGATTTGATTTCAAAAGTCTGCTTGTTTGGTGCACATTCATTCACGTGCCGTTGTACAGATAAAACATTAATTTTCATTGCATTAACACAAAAAAAGAGCATTTTTGCTCTTGTCTTAAGAGTTTGGTTTCCCGACGATATACAGAAGTGTAAATGTAATGCTTTTTAAGGGTCCGACTCCCCCCCTCTCCCCCCGGATCTGAGATGTTGCAGCTTCCAATCAATCAGCACAAACCCTCCGAGTCTCTCGTGCTCTACGTCAAAATGTCACAACGTAAGAAAGTCATTGAAATGTTCGCTGCTTTTAACTCCCCAACAGAGCCGGTAGCTTTTAAGAAAACCTCCTTTAAAATCTTACCAGGTCCAGAGTGTCTCGACTCCTGACTCTCGTTTTTCTCCCCCACATGATGCCGACATGGAAATTCTGCTGCAACATTTACGGGTTATGGTGCATGTGGGGTTTTTAGGGGCTTTTGACTGGACTTCACCACTGACTTTACCTCCATAAGGTGGACTGTGGACAAGGAAAATGATGAGGAATAACAAGATGCCTTCTGCTGTGACAATGTTCTGTATTACTAAGATTCATTAAATAGATTATTTCTGAAATATGGCTTATTAGGGCTGTGAATTATATCATGTTTATATATTTTTTTTTGCTCTTTCTTTTGCTTTTTATTTTTCTTCCTGGATTTGCTGTAGCAACCCCCGGCACACAGAGATTACACTTAGAGCAGATTTATTAATATAGCGGTAAAGGATGATAAATTATGTGATTTTATTTTAGGGAAGCATGTGATGTGTGTGTGTGATGTGTGTGTGCGTGCGTGCGTGCGTGTGTGTGTGTGTGTGGGCGGGGAGGGGAGGGGAGGGGAGGGGAAAGGGGGCTTCACGTGTCTTCAAGTTAACTTCAGAACTGAAACAAGGCTCTTGTCTTTTACAACTTCTCAGGAAAATCTACCTCTACCTCCAGTTTGATGCATTTAACCCAGTGAGGGCTCAAGTTACAGTTTAATGGGTACACAAAGAGGGCGCGAGGGCGGGCGCCAGGGTCCAAAATGAACTTCCAACATGCCAGTAGAGTACTTTTAAAGACTAGTGACACACATGAGATTGTATTAAGAACATGTATTGTGGTGTGTTTACATTATTATCTTGGCTGGAAACAAATAAAACAAATATATATATCTATATATATATAGATATATATATATAAGCGTCACCCTGTAGGTGAACTGAGAGGTTCATTTTGGACACTGGGTGGCTCTCGCTCTCTGTCGCTCTGTTTCTCTCTCTGTGTTACAGGTTCGTAACACTTCTGCTGTTTTTAGTTTATTTGAGCATCAACAACAGGGAACCTTCAGCTCAACAGCTAACTACTACTAGTACTACAACAAGTACTGCTTCTAGTACAGCTGTAAGTACTGCGAGTCGTTTTTTTTTTGTCTGTTCTATTCATGTGTGCTTATTCCTTCTTTTTTTTTCTATAAATAATTACATTCTTTGATGAATGGGACATTTCCCGCCAACCACGGTAACGGTGAAGTGGCAGTGGGCAATGCAACTGTTTTTACTTTGTTTTTTGTTTTCTTTTTGTTTGTTTTTTTGAAGGGTGAAGAGCAATTCTTGCCTATTTACTCAATATGTGTTTGTGTGAATACTTTTATTTTGAATCTGAAATTAATAAAATATCACCTTTCTTAAATGTCACAATGAGCTCCGGATGTTTTTTTTAATGTATCTGTAATGTAAGTTAGCAAACATGTTAATCAGTTTAATTAAAAAATTGTGTTATTTAATAAGTCTTTATTAAAAATGTGTTCATTAACAGTAACATTGATGCAGGAGGTACTTTTTACAGCCTCTTCTGGATTCACAATAACATTTGGGAACCTTTATTGTGCAGAAGTCATATATTAACCCTATACTAACTCTTTATTTTAATTGTTTTATAGTTTCTTTTTAACATATGTACTCAGGATTAATACATTAAATTGTCTAATACCATAAATTAAATCCCTAAAATTAAAACAATCACAATCAACAGGAACAAATCACGGGTTCACAGGGGTTATATATTGTATATTAGTAGCCTAAAAATGTCCCAATACAAATATTAATAAAAGTACTCATTACTCAGAAAGGCTCAATAATGTATATTATATTATACTGTGATTATTGATGCAGTCATGTGTAAGCATCACTAACACACTGATAAAGGTGGAGCTAATTTATTTACTGCTGGGTAGCTTATACATTTCCCCCCATGGATCAATTAAGTCTTATCTTTGCCTTTTAATAATACATATTTTATTTGTTGATTATATAGTGTTATTATTATTAATTTGCAAAGTAAAATGTATCAAATCTTACGGTAGTTACTTTCCAGAAAATAACAGTTTTATATGTAAGAAAATTATTTCTTAGCAATAATAATATAATAAAGCAAGGAATTACTAAATAAATAAAAAAATTAAAATTAAAATTTTTGTACAATAATAATAATTATAAATAATAATAACTCAGATTAAAAAGATTCCTAATGTCGTTATTAATCTCCATTTAATATATGTTATTAATACTGTTTTATTTTTCCTGTACATTGTTTATTTAAAATAAAATCATTGATCTTCTCTCATTCATACACATTAACTGGGTCGCCCCGCAACGTGACCCGCGTCTCACGTTGACGCTGGAGTTTTCTGAAGCACCGCCCAGTAGCACTGTCCGCACTGGTGAACCTATCGCACCCCGGCAGATTTAAACACACCAACTGATTCGAGAAGACACGGGGATGAGCGGCGGGGGCGGAGCTAAACCCGACTCTCCGCTACTGAGAGCAGCCTGGTGGGGGCGGAAAACAAAAAACAAAGCCTCGTACTCAAACCGATCTTCATTGTAGTGGAGGAGTTTCTGTGTTCATGTTTAGAAGACTTTTATGAGGAAGAAAAATGAGACTCAGGTCTCAGAAAACCGTTACCGCCTGCCCGGAGACGCCGAGGATCAACCGCCGGCGGTCCAACAAACCGACGGCGAAACGAACGCGCCTATCGGGGACCGAAAGCCCGCTTCAGAGCACGGTAACGGTAACTTACAGCACCGTTTCTACGGTTACCGGTCAAACAGTCCCGAGAATGTTAAATGTTAGTGTATCCAGTTAACCGTTAATCGGCCGTTAATCGACCGTTAGTCGACCGTTAGTGTGTTCTGATGCCAGTTAGCCGGAAGTTGGTGAACGTTAGCTGCGCTCATAACAAACAGATGGCGATGCTAACGCGTTAGCTGCCGTTGTGTTGAAGATCTTTCCTCCACTCGACCAAACTCTCGTACTTTCTCTGCAGTTAGTTAAAGCAAAACGGGTGGTTGACGTGCACACTCAGACTGCAGCGTCCATTAAACAAACAGGGGGAGACAAAGATCAAAGCTAACGCAGCTAAACAGCAGATAGATCTGATCTGCACGAAGGTTTCAGTCTGTTTGTTTGTCTGAAAGAAGCTTTAAATGAGCTCAGTCGGTGTTTTTAAGGGCTGTAGTTTGTGGTGCTGTTTAATTGTGTTAATGTTTCTTAGAAGTTTAAGTTGAAAAAGTTTCTATTTAACGTTAGATGTATTATATTTAAGGTACTTTGGCTCTTTAGTGCTCAAATTCATTACAATAGTGCGAAATCCAAGTTGCTGAAGCTGCAATTTGTTTCATAAAGGTAAAAAAAGTGTGACAAACCTGCATTATAATGAGGTGTTGTAGTGCTGAACTACAAATCTCATTCCACAGATATAACAAAACATGTTTGTTTGGTCCAGACCCCAAAAAGCTCCAGTGAAAACTACATTTCTGACTAAAAACAACTACAATATGATGTTTTTAACACATTGTACAGTCCTGTTGATTGAGTTGACTCTACCACTCGGATGCTTTATCATATGTTGGCTTTTTATTGCTTAAACTGACTCAAAAATTCACCTTTAAGCTTTAATTTGAGGGTATTTTCTGCCACATATCCCTCCCAGTCAATGATTTATTCCAGTATATAGATATCCCCGTGGTTTCATGGCTGTGTGCGGGGTACAGGGTCATATTTGCTCTGTGACGTGGTGTCTGACGCAGGATTGATGCAGCAGCAGAGGATTAAACATGTGAGAGAGGGTCCCAGTGAGAAGCAGGTCAACAGGACACACAGCAGGCTGTTTACACCAGCGATACTTCACGTGTCGGCGCTTTGGTGGCAGAATTAAAGACGTAAAACACAACAGATTCGTAATATAGCAGGTCGGGCTGAGGAACAGTTTCTATTGAAGGATACTAAATAAAAACAGAAGTTACTAACTGATGTGTTCAACACACTGGTACTAAAGTTAAGATTTAATTATACACTACTATTACAGTAACTTCTGGGTAAAACAAGTTACTCTGTGTCTGAATAATAATCTGTGTTGTTCAAAGTCTCTGCAGCATTTACTTTATAGTTTATGTGTTTGTTTTCCACTTTAGCTGCACAGATATTTGGACATATTTTAGATTATATTCTTGTTATTACTAATTATAATTATCTAGAGTGAGATGTGTGCTTCGTATCTATCAGTGTTGGACTAATATTGTTTTTTCAGTGTTTTCTAGATCTAGTCATGTTTAATTCAGGCATTTGTTTACCGCACAAAACTGAAGCTACCTGTCAGTTTTGTAGTTTCTAACATCTTTTTAACAACTTGTGTGTGTGCAGCGTGAAGAGACCGTGGATAACGACCTCCACCGGTCCGATGACGATATACCCACGCTGACGAGGCGCCCGCTGCCCCGTGGCCGGCTGAGGAAGAGAGCCATCGCTGTAGACGACAGAGAAGCAGGTACGTTCGAGCCTCCGGTTCAGTTTGTTTCCCTGAATGTGAAGCGCTGTTGTTTGTTTGTTTGTTTGTTTACTGACTGATTGTCTTTGTGTGGTGAAGATTTGGCCTTCAAGACTCCGATCAGGCCCATCATGCACCACGAGCGCGTACTGTCAGAGATCGACCCGGTGACGCCTCGTAACGCCACGGCCAGAAACATCTACTCGCCCATTGTGCGATTCCTCACACCCAGCAAAGAGAGTGAGTACAGCCACTGTCACTGATACTGTGCTCTCTTTTACCTTCAACAACCCGTCCACATGTTTAAGTTTGTGTTGAATGAACTCTGTCCACTTTCCACTTTCACTCTGGGAGATATTCAGTCATCAAAGTAAGTAAGTAAGTAAATTTAATTTATAAAGCACATTTAAACACAGTATAAACTGACCAAAGTGCTGTACAGTGGATGACTAAAAAAGGCAAATAATACAGAAAAACACATTGGTAAATAACTAAAA